CTCAATAGATGCAGAAAAAGCTTTTGACAAAGTACAGCATCCTTTCTTGATCAAAACTCTTCAGAGTATAGGGATCGAGGGTACATACCTCAATATCATAAAAGCCATCTATGAAAAACCCACAGCGAATATCATTCTCAATGGGGAAAAACTGAGAGCTTTCCCCCTAAGGTCAGGAACGCGGCAGGGATATCCACTATCACCACTGCTATTCAACATAGTATTGGACGTCCTAGCCACAGCAATCAGACAACAAAAAGAAATCAAAGGCATCCAAATTGGCAAAGAAGAAGTCAAATTCTCACTCTTTGCAGATGATATGATACTTTATGTGGAAAACCCAAAAGACTCCACCCCAAAACTGCTAGAACTCATACAGGAATTCAGTCAAGTGGCAGGATATAAAATCAATGCACAGAAGTCAATGGCATTCCTATACACCAACAACAAGACAGAAGAAAGAGAAATTAAGGAGTCGATCCCATTTACAATTGCACCCAAAACCATAAGATACCTAGGAATAAATCTAACCAAAGAGACAAAGGATCTGTACTCAGAAAACTATAAAATACTCATGAAAGAAATTGAGGAAAACACAAAGAAATGGAAAAACGTTCCAGGCTCATGGATTGGAAGAACAAATATTGTGAAGATGTCAATGCTACCTAGAGCAATCTACACATTCAATGCAATCCCTATCAAAATACCATCCACTTTTTTCAAAGAAATGGAACAAATAATCCTAAAATTTGTATGGAACCAGAAAAGACCCTGCATAGCCAGAGGAATGTTGAAAAAGAAAAGCAAAGCCGGTGGCATCACAATTCCGGACTTCCAGCTCTATTACAAAGCTGTCATCATCAAGACAGCATGGTACTGGTACAAAAACAGACACATAGATCAACAGAACAGAATAGAGAGCCCAGAAATGGACCCTCAACTCTATGGTCAACTCATCTTTGACAAAGCAGGAAAGAATGCCCAATGGAACAAAGACAGTCTCTTCAACAAATGGTGTTGGGAAAATTGGATAGCCACATGCAGAAGAATGAAACTGGACCATTTCCTTACACCACACACAAAAATAGACTCCAAATGGTTGAAGACCTCAATGTGAGACAGGAGTCCATCAAAATCCTAAAGGAGAACACAGGCAGCAACCTCTTTGACCTCAGCCGAAGCAACTTCTTCCTAGAAACATCGCCAACAGCAAGGGAAGCAAGGGCAAAAATGAACTATTGGGACTTCATCAAGATAAAAAGCTTTTTCAAAGCAAAGGAAACAGTCAACAAAACCAAAAGACAACCGACAGAATGGGAGAAGATATTTGCAAATGACATATCAGATAAAAGGCTAGTATCCAAAATCTATAAAGAACTCATCAAACTCAACACCCAAAGAACAAAGAATCCAATCACGAAATGGGCAGAAGACATGAACAGACATTTTTCCAAAGAAGACATCCAAACGGCCAGCAGACACATGAAAAAGTGCTTAATATTGCTCGGCATCAGGGAAATCCAAATCAAAACCTCAATGAGATACCACCTCACACCAGTCAGAATGGCTAAAATTAACAAGTCAGGAAACGATAGATGTTGGCGGGGATGCGGAGAAAGGGGAACCCTCCTACACTGTTGGTGGGAATGCAAGCTGGTGCAGCCACTCTGGAAAACTGTATGGAGGTTCCTCAAAAAGTTGAAAATAGAGCTACCATATGATCCAGCAATTGCACTACTGGGTATTTACCCCAAAGATACAAAAGTAGGGATCCGAAGGGCTACATGCACCCCAATGTTTATAGCAGAAGTGTCCACAATAGCCAAACTGTGGAAAGAGCCAAGATGTCCATCGACAGATGAATGGCTAAAGAAGAAGTGGTATATATATACAATGGAATATTATGCAGCCATCAAAAGGAATGAGATCTTGCCATTTGCAACGACGTGGATGGAACTGGAGGGTATTGTGTTGAGTGAAATAAGTCAAACAGAGAAAGACATGTATCATATGATCCCACTGATATGAGGAATTCTTAATTGTAGGAAACAAACTCAGGGTTGCTGGAGTGGGGGTTGGGGTGGGAGGGATGGGGTGACTGGGTGATAGACACTGGGGAGGGTATGTGCTCTGGTAAGCGCTGTGAATTTGTGCAAGACTGTTGAATCTCAGATCTGTACCTCTGAAACAAATAATGCAATATATGTTAAGAAAAAAAAAAAAGAAGAAGAAGAAGGTAGCGGGAGGGGAAGAATGAAGCGGGGGAAATTGGAGGGGTAGACGAACCATGAGAGACAATGGACTCTGAAAAACAAACAGGGTTCTAGAGGGGAGGGGGGTGGGAGGATGGGTTAGCCTGGTGGTGGGTATTGAGGAGGGCACATTCTGCATGGAGCACTGCTCTAGTCACAGCTTCACCATTTTCGCATTGCTACATATCCCTTTGGGGACATCACCTCATTTATCTGCATCCTAGACATTTCATTGGTAAAACTGAGAGGTCTGCACTATAGATATTATTATATAACAACATATCAGTGCTCTCCAGGTGCATGATGGACATTGTTCCAAGATTCCGTTATACAGGAAGAACAATACCAACTAATGAAAGATGATTTTGTGAAAATTTTATAAAAGGAAACCTCATGTAGAATAGAGTGGGGGAGGGCAACAGGGGGAGCCCTGAAGTCCTATCACTCAACTGCACACCCAATAGGAAAAGACCCCCTCGCACTGGAAACTACTTTACTACCCCGGCAGAGAGAAGGGCTTTCCTCCTCCCCTACCCTGCAACAGCCCAGCCAATGAAAAGCCACTCCACAGCATCCTCCCCACCCCTTTGTTCAGCCAACTTGCCTACAATTTTGCCACAGGCTCTTGTCCCAGATTACATTTCTCTGCTCTCCCTGAATAAGCCCACTTTTGCTGGTGAAATAACTGAGAGTTTTATTTTTTACCGATAACACTTTTAAATCATTGGCTTCTGTTTGGTTGGCTGTCTGTTGCTTTTCCTTGCTTACCTTGCCGTCTAAAGAATTTATTAAATGTGTTTCAAAGAGTGACACTTAGGGAAGGATTTTTTAGAAAATGAAGCTATTTCTTACAGTGGACAAGGGCCATTTCAGTGACACAGCTTCCACAAAATGAAGATGCCATTTCCCACAGATGACCCCCATTTCACAGAGCCAAGTCTTCAGTGCCACATTGAATCCACTCTATTTGCATACCGTACATCTGAATTTAATGAGATTTGGAAAGTTAGTCATCTCAAAAAGAGAATGTTAATTATATATTGTTTTCATTTGAAATCACAGATAAGAATTTTTTAAACTTTTATATTATAGAAGGGGACGCTATATTCCTCCATATAATCCTGTGTATCAATATAGTGCTCACTGGCCAAGCTCTCTCTGCAGAAGTAGAAGGGTATCACCAATTTAAAAATACAAAACATTTCAACAAACAATTGCTGACAAAATATTGTCTCTGGCAAAACTTTAAATGTAATTTAACTGCCTTTACTTGTTATAATCAATAAACATATTTCTAATTTTTTTCTGTCACTTTTGCGTCCACTTAAAAGGAAAATGCATGACAAATGCAGTTTTTGTTAATAATTCATAATAATCACGGGATGTACCAAAAGGCTTAAAAAACACAGACCACCAGTAAAGAAGGTGAACATCTACACATCTTTTTACTGTTTTAAGAAAATGAAAATCCAGTATAATTCCCTCATTTTAAACTTTTATACAACATCTCTTAAAATATATTCTGCATTTTACTTCAAAAAATGCATTTTATTAAGAAAGAAAGAAGGAATAGATTACAAATCAGGACATGAAAATCATGACATATGATGAATCAATGCGTTTTGATGCCATAATGCTGCAGTTTCTAGCCATGCAGACCACACAGAACCATGAGGCTTCACCATCTATAAACCTGTCTACATCCCCAAGCAGGTTAATGCGGCTACTAAATCACATGAACACTTGCAACAGATTCAGAGCCGTTATTATGCTTGTATTCAGCTTTGCATCAAATAATAACTACCATTTCTGTGTTCAATCCTTCAAGTCTTTCAATTAAAAAAAAAAAGTATGCCATTTATCAACATAGATCCTTCATAAGCTACTATGTTAATTCATATCCTAAGATTTAGTCAGGCATTTACAGAAACAGTAAAATGGTTATAGAGCTATGGGAAAGACAGGTAGCTTTTGTAAGGAGGTTAAGAAGGAAAATATGATGCTTAATTTATGTATTTCCAAATTGTTCTGGTGTGAACAAATGAAGGAATCCAATTTTTCCTTGCCAGGCACCTGGAATGTGTGAGCATAAATAGCAAAGTGCCTTTATTATATAATTGGCTTATGAAATTTCAAGATAACTACATGCACGCATCTTATTTGCTTTGCCTCAAAATCCATTATTGTAACAAGTTTCCTAAGGTTACTGATAATTCTCTGATCTCTTGGTATGTATACACACCCTAATCAGAATGTACTAGTTAGTAGGTTATATTGATTTCTGGTACTTTTTAAGAAATCACCCCATCACCATAAATGAGACATGACAGAATGGCAGACTTCACACAGATCAGATAATATGCCATCACCCCTTAGAGTGAGCATCCTTTAACTACTCCACTGGCTTTGGTGAAAGGGGGCATGACTGCAGTTTCTATTTCAAAAAGCCTATCCTGGAGGTCAGTGCATGGAAAAATGTATGCCTGAAGGGGTATATGTTTTAGAATGGGGAACGGAGCTCTCTACCTCAAATTGTCCCTTTTTCTTTTTAATGCATCAGGAATGTGCTCCATGGAATATAGTCAAGGGAGATCAAAGAAAATTTGGTGACAAGCTTTAGAAAAACAGAAGTACAAACCTGAAAAAAACCCAAAACTGGCATAAGGCTCAGGGAAAGTATTCTCAAAAGTATGTTTCATATGAGACATTACAGTTGTAAATAAAAATAATTTTTTTGGCATTGTTAAGGATTGTGTTCTTTATATCAACAAGCTTGGTAGTTGCAAACACTTCACATTCTTTGGGAAATTGGCATTTATCCAGCGTCTTCCCTACTGCCACCACTGAACACGGATAGCAGATGATGAGAAATTTAAAAGGTAGGACACCACACACTGACAACCAATGCACTCTCTGAGTCTTGTCACATATGGATTTTAGATTCAGAGCTAAAGTCTGACACTCAAAACCTAATGCGTTCAAAATCATTAAGAAGAGTCCAATAGAAAAAGAGCAATACGATCAAAGCAACGACAACAAAACATCTTTCAAGACTATTGATAAATTGTATTGAATGTAATACAGAGAAAGGCAAAGGGCTGATATACTTTTGGCCACTGAAGATGCAAACACGGCCAAACAGGATCTGAGAAGCATTTCCAGGTCTGTGAATAACACTGGAGGGACACTAAAGCAAACACAGAGCATGTTCTCAAAAAAAGCAAGTTATTATCATCCAATTTTGATTTTTTCCTACAGTTTTCACGTTCAAAACCCCTAGTCATCAAGCCAGTCAAACTTCCATTTTAGATCCTATCAGAACAGCTGGAAATTAAGAGCAATATCGAATTCCTTGTTCTCTAGAACGACTGCTACGGGAAATACGTCACCGGATGAGGCCTCCCGCAGCCATCTCGAGTCTGGATATGGCAAGATGGCAGTGCTGAAAATCCATTGCCTGTCCACTCAGTGTGAGAGCCTTTTCTTGTCCATCGAGAGCCCCTGGCTATTAAGACAGACTGCCGGAATCGCAAGTTAAATCACAGCCGCCAATCAGAAGAAGTACTCTTTCTGATTTTCATTGGCTGCACTTTGTATATTAAGCTCACTTTTCAAAACAGCCTCGGCACTGTCTACGTTCTCTGACCTTTTCGCCTCATTTCTTTTGTATAACCTTTTCTGCTGATAAATGCGAACGGCTACGGCAGCGATGCACAGCAAGGTAAAGACCACAACAGCTATTAAACCTAGCGAGAGAGGAGAAAAGAACGTAAAATCAGAATTTGTGTCGCAGTGGAAGCCCTGCGGACTTCACGGTTTAGTAAGTCATAAGAAAATTATGTTCCCCATAAATCGAGCATCTGGTATCTATAAATTAAAAAAGTATCCAAACCTCAAGGATTTCTGGATCAGGTGGTATCATAATATATGGAGTTTGTTTCTGAGTTCTATCAACCTGGTGGGTTCGCCTCCATTTACTCTACACGCATATTATACTGGATTTATTCAGTGCGTTTCCATTTATTTTTTTTAATCTTTTAGTGCATTTTACGTTAAACACAAGATGTTACCAACACATCTCTAAGACCATGTGATCATTGCATATTAATACACAAATTTTAATTACTTTAAAATTATAGATAGTAGTAAGATGGTAAAGTGATTAAATGTGTCTTTGTACTTAAATATTTAAACGCTGTAATTCAGTTGATTCGCAATAGTTTGTTCTACTGCTGAATAGGAGGGACAGGATATATGCATCTGAATAATCCTGACTAGTGAAATATATTCATATGGATAATATAGATTATTTAGCTTATTTCTACATGAGGAATACTGATATTCTGAAACATTGTGAATGTTGTAAAGGTTGTAAATAAAAGATTTAAATACCACAACTGTTAACTATGCCCATATATGGGCATCAACCTTGGCATTACATTGGGCCGGAAGTTCTTCGAAGTGTGATCTGTGAGTCCCTTTTGGGTCCCAGAACACTCTGAGGAGGTCCACGGGGTCAAAGCTATTTTCATAATAATTCTAAGATGCCTTTTCCATTGTGTTGACATACCCACTGCTAATGTAAAACAAGGTTGGGTACAATTCCTGGTACTTTAGCATGAATTAAGGCAAGGTTACCGAACTGTAACAGTGGTCACTGAATTCATTATTACACTGCCAGGCAACCCCGGAAAAAAAGAAAAAAGCTAGCTTCACTTAAGAGTGTCCTCGATGAAGCACTAAAAATTACTTATTTTATGAAATCTTGACCTTTGGCTACATGCCTTTTTAACATTTTGGGCGATGAAATGGAAAGTACTTGGGGTGTGTCTCCAAGTACAGTGGGTGTCCCAGGAAAAGCGTTTGTGTTAAAAGCTGACTTGTGAGCTCAACTTTTGGCTTCATGAAACACCATTTTTATTTGAAAGCATGATTGATAAACCATGGTTGTTTTGACTTGGATATTCGACAGATACTTTCTCTGAAATGAGTGAAGTAAGTCCGTCACTTCAAGAAAAAGTAACTGACAATATATGTTACCAGTGATAAAAGTCAAGCTTTCAAATGAAAAATAGAATTTGGAAAACTACTGCCTGTCACCATGAGTTTGAGAGTTTCCTAATACTTAGACTTTTCTGATGAAAACAGTGGAGGTATTAACTGATGTCGTTGTTTTTAGACAAAAATAGGTACAGTGAAAACAACAACGTGGATCACCCGTCATATTGTAAAGCTAGGATTCTTCCTTCCAGTTTCAATTAGGTGCATATAACTCTAACAGAGTCCACCAAGCCAACACACTGAATCGTTATCACCAGAAACTGTGATTTCTCACCAATCACAGTTGATTCCTGAGCATATGATTTAATGGGCGGATTGACTACAGCAAATCATAATACTGCCAATGGCCGAGCCGATTTTTGGCTGGGTCAAACTTACCTGAGAAGGACAGCAATTCTTTGCTCATAAATCTAATATAAACATGGCAACCAAATTCTGCACTTGAAATCTAAAAAATTCACTACATATCCATTATTAGTTATATTAGTAAGTAATAATTTTATTCAGAGTATCTAATTGTTGTTATATATTTTGCCTCTCAGCAGTTGAGTTGTTATAAATATTTCTATTGTCTGGCATCTTGTTATAGGCCTCTTGTATCAAGAGAGACATTCTGAATAATTTCAATGTGAAAAACTGATGAAGTCTATTATAGAGAGCAGGCGACAGCAATTATAAAATAAACATCAACATTACAGTGGCCCAGACAAGATACCCAGACAGTCATAATCGTGAATGGACTCTGGAACTAGTTTGTTCCATGTATGTGATTTATCTCCTTTAATTTGGGGGAAGGTATTATGTCAGGATTTGTCATGTCCAAGGAAACCTTGATCTAACCTGTTAAACAAACAAAAAAAACAACACACTAAATAAAATACCGCCAAGCACTGTGCTCCATGACATTGCCATCTGAGGCCCTGTCTGACTGTGTTTTTATGAAGATATTGTGCAGCTTCCTCTCTGTCTAAATCTCACCATCTTTATCTGCATAGCCTGGCCAGAAATTCTCTATAATATCTGGGTCACCAGTTTTAAATGTCTTATAAACAATTTTCCCATCTTACATTATTCAGTGTTTGTAAGTGAAGACAAAGATCATCTACAATGTAGAACATAGGGCGATTAGCCAATTTGGAGAAATTTTAAATGGATTAATTATGGCTACACAGTGGGTGCTATTTACGAGTAACTAGACAACGGGTGAAAAATTATATTACGATGCTACCAGATGGAGAAACGCCCCAGAGGATGATATTCTGTGATTTAGCAGATAAATCGCATGTGGTCCCAGACAAGGCCTTCGGAGCTTAAACGGCCATGCCCAGCTGCTTTGCTTCTGACGCTCAGTCTCTGCAATGCCCAAAAGCAGACGCCACTGGATTCCTAGACCCTCAATCCCTGGGCTGCAAATTTTCCACCCTTTGTCTGTGCTCTGCGTTTGAGCCAAGCGAGATTCCACAGGTGACTCATAACTTGTTCCCGTTCCAGAGTAACATAGAATGACTTATCAACACACCCCTCCTTTAGTCTGTAAATCTTCCCAATGATCTCTGCCCAAAGCAACAGTATTCTAAAGATTAAATATTTCGTTCTAACATTGGCTTGACTGTCCAGTCACTCTCTACGTATATCTATCTTTGTGTCTTTATCTCCTTATATCTATACTAGTTAAATGTATAAACGAAGCACCATTATGAGACTGCGACAATCTGCTTGACAAGGAATCCTAGTTTAAAACGTGAAGCACATTAAATGCTAGAGCTTTAAATGAGGTTTCACCATATAATGTATTAATAATAATATATTCATGTATTTCTTTTAGACATGCAGTTATTCAGCTATTAACTACTCTTCTAGCAGGTCTTACCATTGTTTATTTTTTGCTTGTTATATGACTAAATGGGAATTCTATCTTGGGTATCTTTAATTTATACACCATTAGTTTGCTAAAAGAAAAATACCTGAAATAGCAATGGGGATGTTAATATCCTCACAAAGATTTGACTAGTACTACTGTCTCAGTAAAATCCCAACTTCTTAAAGGAAGTTGATGTCTGGATGAGTAAAGGTACAAAAAACAGAACAAATGGATCAGGTATAAAGCCCACAAAAACTGCCCAGGTAAAAGAATAATCACATTATCTGGCAATGTAATAAAATAACTGTTTACTTTTTATGTTCTTATCCTACGCAGACTGCGGAGAAAAGGCGAGCCACTAAACATTTCCATTATCTTATTAATAACCTTCTTAAGACCACTGATCAGGAAGAAGACGGTATTTTTGGGGGGTTGGTTTTAAATAAATTATGTCTCAGAGAATATGCTGTTTCATTGCCAGGAAGATATACTTAAATTTTTTTGTGTTAATTCTGCAATTTAAAAATGACTATGAATCACTTTTATTCCATTAGCCTAATATTTGACAAAAATGCAACTAAAAATGTAATATTCATTGATGTGAGCACCTAAACCATGGAAATATCCATTTTATTGAGCATGACCACAACATAAAATATAAGTTTTTCCTGCTTTTTACATAAACTCTTGCAGAAGCAGTACAACAAAGTCCAAGAAGCCAACAAAAATCGTACTGCTTCCTCAAGTATATTCAGATTTCCCTAGGGATTGTAGAAGGCCACTTTCAAGCTAAATGATAACTCATTTTTACACAGTTTAGCACCTATTCCTTGAGTGTGGTGCCTTGATGAAATTATCCATTATTTAAACTGAAAATCTTCAAGGAATTCAGAAACTCAGGAAGACTCTAGAAGGCAATCCAGTATAAATAATAAACCACTCCCATTGACCTCAGGCCTCAGTGCCTAACCCTGGGGATGTGTGTGAATTCTTCATGGTTTCTCTGATGCTCAATATTCGCCACTCCTAGTAATGACAAGTACCAAAGAAGAGCCCATCCATGCTTTCTGTTACCTCCAATCACTGCAGAGTCACTTCTGATTGCATTAGCGAGGGGTTCTCTGTCATCTCTTGTTCCCGAATGATCTGCAGGGAAAGAATAAAAAAAGGGGGGAAGGGAGTGATATAGCCAATCAAAAAGAAGAAATTTTGAAAAAAAAAAAAAAAAAGTCTTAAAACATTTTAAACCAGAGCAGAATTATGGAGGTCAATGTGGGATCCCTGTCGACAACTTTTTTGAAGCTCAGCAGTGTCAACTGCAGGGGCCCACATGAATAAGGCACTGAGAATCTAGAGAAGAAATGGGAAAGAGAATTGGACGTCAACCAACAAAGCCAATTTTGAGAAGCCACCTCGAGGACCCGCTGCCTCAGCGGCATCGGAGGACTCAATGCCCAGGGGATCAGTGTGTTCGTTACCGCGTAAAGGAGGGGCCACACACCACCTGCAAACGAGTGTGTCCTTTCTCTTGATGTGGCATCGGTACCACCCTGGGCCACACAGCTGGACTCTGTCACGTGTCCCGAGACGGTGATGGGGGCCAGGTGGCTGGGCTGCAGTGCGGCCTTCAGAGGAGCCACGTGGCTGAGCTGCACGGCAGAGAGACAGCCCCGGAAGCCCTGTGCGCCCGCCAGCGCCGTCTCCTGGTCTGTATCACTGTGTTCTGTGAACCCAAAGAAACACCGAAATGTTAACAAGAAATGTTAACAATCGTGCAAGAGCAAACAGGGAAGGCTACAGACGGAATGTCCCCAGTCTGGTAATACAACAGCAAATATATATACAGTAGACTAAATTCCCCTTTGCCGGTCTTTATTCAAAGAGTCGGATCCAGCAAGTCTCTCCGTGACTACTGGTGAGCCTCTCCAGGTTAATGAAGGCAGGTTTTTAAGGATGGCTAATTTAATATCATGGGGTGAACTCTGGAAGTGATTGAAGCCTCCCTAAGAACGGGCCAGGTTTGGAACCGATGAGGGTTCGCGAGATGGTAAACTGAAACACAGATGATTAACATCATTTGTGATAGGGCTTGGAGTAAGAGATTCGAGTGCTTCCCGATTTGGAAATGGATTCAGCTCAGCTTGCGAGACGTAAGTCATGAAAAGCACAAAAGCTAGAGGGAAAATTGAGCTTCTGGAGTTCCCTTATCTATTGCCCAACCGGCCGATGGTCGGGCCAACAGCTTTCTGGTACTCTGCAACCCCATCCAAACATGCAGGGGGATGATGTTGAGATGTGGTGGAGGCTACACCCCAAAGAGTCGCCCTAATGACTCATGCACAGCAGTGAAAACGTTCATACCTCACAGCCTTTTCTCCCTCGTTCTCTGCCACCTGTCACTCAGACAGACACGTGCGCACCCCTGTCCCCTCTAGATAGAAAAACCCTCCCCCACATCAATGGGAGTTTAGTTTATCTGCAACTATTGTGGCACAGAGATTGGCTTGAATGCCAGAATATTAATTCATGGTTTTACGGTGAAGAATACATTTACATTTTATGCTTGGCGAGGTTCAAATTGAAATAAGGGGAATTACCTGTAGAGTTTTAAAGTTCAAATGTTATCAGACTACAATGCATCCAATCCACCCAGTGTGACCAGAAAATAGCACTCCTCTCTCCTGCACTGCATATACAGGGACACAGACACGGTTTGCACTTTTGTCTCTTTTTGAAAAAAAAAAAAAAAAGGATAATAGGTATTAAGTATTTATTGGGTACTTATAACGCGCTCAGCACTGTTCTCAGGGATTTGCATGCTCGTGTTAGCAGCTCCCAGGAGCCGGGAGGGTCTGATGTCCGTGGTACAGGTGGGACACATGGGGTCAGAACTGCAGTGACTGCCTGAGGCTGAGGAGCTGTGGGCATTCTGTGCGGGACTCGGGCTCTTGGGCTCCAAACCACAAGACTCCGCTATTTATGAACTGCTCTCTGATTGACCTGTTGTTTTCTTTCCTCTGTTCGTATCTTCTGCAGTGCCTCTTATTTATTTTGTTATTATTTTTTGGCTTGAGAGCAGCTAGTCTTGAAGTGACTCTGGACAACTCAGCTCTGATTGAGCCGGTCTTGTTATATTAAGAATTCTGAAGAACGCCGTTTTGTTCCATTACCATTCACACTTTATACCTAATGATGAAAATGCTGATTAAATGTTGAGTATCATGAACGTCATCCTCCAATCTGAAAATCAGCGCAATTACATTACTCTCCTGCTGTGGGGGATAGAGATACGGTACTCAGGCTCAGGCATTCTGCCTCAGAAGGCCATGTTCCGACCACCAGGCCACCCTGCCTCACTGCACAAAGACGGGCTTCCTGGACCCGTAGGTGACCCTCAACCTCCAGCATTATGCTGTTACATAGAAGCCATTCCGTCCATGTATAGAAAGCAAAAACGAACTTAGTCCCAACACACAGCATTCGCTCACTTGAATGGATATACATTCAAACATATTTATGTTTAGAAAGACAGCATTCTTGCTTTGGAGTTTTTTTACTTTAATAAGAAAGGAAAAGAAAATATACATTAATAGCAGCATAACCAGGACAGTGCTTTTCACATTTATTTTAAAATGTTAAAATCTTGATAACAATTTCTATAGACTTTTTAAAAAATCTTATCTTTTGAACCAAAAAATAAAATTGTAAATAGATAAGATTCACTTCTCTGGTACAAATCTGACAGGAGATGAATTTTATTTTATTATTTTTTTAAAGATTTGTTTATTTGAGAGAGAGAAAGAGCTAGCAGGGTAAGGGGCAGAGGGAGAGAACATCCAAGCAGATTCCCACTGAGCATGAAGCCCGACGATGCGGGGCTTGATCTCACGACCCATGAGATCAGGACCTGAGCCGAAACGAAGAGTTGGATGCTTAACTCACTGAGCCACCCAGGCGCCCCGAGATGAATTTTAAAAACTACACCTTCAAGTCCAAAACATTTTACATATTACAAATTACTGTATAAAAGACTTTATTTTTTTTTTTTTTAAGATTTTTTATTTATTTATTTGACAGAGAGAGACACAGTGAGAGAGGGAACACAAGCAGGGGGAGTGGGAGAGGGAGAAGCAGGCTTCCCGCAGAGCAGGGAGCCCGATGCGGGACTCGATCCCGGGACTCCAGGATCATGACCTGAGCCGAAGGCAGTCGCTTAACCAACTGAGCCACCCAGGCGCCCTATAAAAGACTTTAAATTCTAAAACTTAAAGTGGGCAGTTAATCAATTAATATTTGTTTTAAGAGCTACTGTTACAGGAAATAAATTCCCTGTACATCAGGCATCTCACATTCTAGTAGCAGAGACAGAAAACAGACATAGAGACAGGAACTAGTGAAAATTTTGAAGAGTGGTAATGTTCTGAAGAAATGACTTAGAAAGTGTGATGGGGTGTGTCTGGAACAGAAATTTATCTTGATGGATTAGGTGAGTTTTGTGTGTCTATTTTAAGGTTGACTCTTCATAGTCCTGTTCCCTTAGTAGTCTGTAGATATTATTCCAGCAACTTCTCGCTCTATCACTTCTTTCTCAAATTTTGTGAGATTCCCCCTGTGATTCAGGAATTTTGCATAGAATATGGTAGGCCCTTTTCATCTGGAGACACAAGTTTTTTCTTTAGCCTGGAAAATTTCATACATTGTGCACACAACTATTGCTTCACCTTCATATTTTTGTAAAGATTTATTTTACAGAGAATGAGAGAGAGAACGAGCGGGAGGGGTTGAGGTGGGGGGGAGAATCCTCAGGCAGGCTCCCCACTGAGCGCGGAGCCTGATGCAGGGCTCAATCTCACAACCCCGAGATCACGACCTGAGCTGAAACCAAGAGCTGGGCGCTTAACCGACTGAGCCACCAGGGGTCCCTTTCACCTCTAACTTTTTTATCCTCTTGGTCTGCTGATTATTCACACGGGGTCTCCTCTGCATATTCTTTAAGCTATTTTACTTTTCCCACCTGATTTTTATATTTTAGGACTTAATTTTGTGTGAGTCAAGTGCTTCATTCACTTGATCTTCTACGTGATGAATTCAAGTTTCAACAAAGATCACTCTTTCCTACTACTGACATTTTTGGTCTGGAACAATCATACTTTTTAGTTCCTCAAGCTCTTTTGGTTGCTTTGCTTAAAAGCAAGTGCTCTTACTAAGTTTCAACAGGATGGTATCTGTTTCCCTGAAGAGGCTTACTGTGATAGGGAATGATTCTGGTGGCTTCGTTTCTTCCCCCTTTTTATTGTTAAATCTTCTTTTTTTTTGGTCATTGAATCTTCTTAAGAATGGAGTTGTTTTTCTCATGTGCTGGGTGCTTTTCAGTCACTGATTTCCTTAGGTGGCAGACAATGTAGCTGCCCCACACCAGTGAGAGTGTAGGCCAAGCACTCACGTAACCTCCAGACCGAGAGGACTCAAACTTCAGGTCATCCGCAGCAAAATTCAGGAACTCCTCGAGTTTCAGGTTGCTCCCTTCTTTGGCAAAGAGGGGAAATGGGCACAGTGACGTTTTCAGTGCCGACCTCTCCCCATGGGCTCCAGAGATCTAGGCAAGCTAAGTATTTCCAAGTGGAGGGGAGGGATCTATGCAATTTAGGGTCTGCCCCCCAAGACTTTCCTAGGCTGGCCACTGACTCTCTTCCAACCAGAGGGCAAGGAGGCCCCTAATACTTTTCTCACTGGCAACCTCCAGGCTCCCCCCTGCCTGCTGGGCTGGACCAACAACTCCTATTTTCAGGAGAGTCAATGGGTGGGAATTAGAATTAGGAGGGAAAGTATAGCACAGGGTTTTGCACCCACCTCCCCAGAACGGAGTCCAAACAAAACAAACAGCTATACTATGTTGTTCATAAGCAAAGCTGGCCTTAGAAATACATAGCATTAGATATCTTGCTGGACATTGACAACTGTGCTAATAGCCAATGAGCAAAAATAGCTATCTTTCCTATTATCTAACTCCTGAAATGCCAACACCATCTAAAGATTAGAACAGGTAGCGTGGAGGAACTGAAGACCAATGTCTCCTGCTTGACACAAATCCTGAGAGGACTCAATCATGTTTTGGATGTTTCTGGTTATAAACATCCTTAACTGACTCAAGATTTTTGGATAATCTTGCCTATTAAAAAATTAGCCCCAACTGTATTATCCAACAAAGGGAATGACTTCTGCTTTGTTAAAGAAGAAACCTTTTAACAGAAGGCCTGCCAGAAAAATAGAGTACCAAGGAATTAAAATTCGTACAAAGTGCCTTTCTATACCTGGAAAGAGGACTGTTTCTGGAAAAGGCATGAAGTAAATGGAAGAACAATCAAAAGGAGGGCTTCATGGAATTTCTTGTAGCTCTCATTAACAAACAAACAGAAAACAAAACCAAATAGGTTGACCATACCTAGGAAGAGGGACCTTGTTTAAAAAGAATCTTAGTATCTTTAACCCATAAAGATAAGGATAAGAAGGCTTGCCAGAACATGGGGCAATAAATCAGAGGGGGAGCAGGGCTAAGACCCAGCAGAGCATCTTTGTCATTATATGCAATTATGACCAGGATTCAATAAACAAGAGTTAGTGGAAAAGTAAAATGGGAAAGCAGTCAGCAAATACTACATGGATAAGGAAGCAGTTTTTCATAAAAGGTATTTATTTGCCAACCAAACCTATGGCTCTGAGATA